TGGAGGAGCGCGGGCGGGCGGGGCTCAGGGCCGCGCTGCTGGCGTCAGAGGCGTGAGACTGCCGCCAGGTTACGCCCAAGGCCTCGCGGATGTCTGTACTGTTCATAACTTAATTGTTTTTTCCAGGAGACAGAGAGAGAGAGACAGAGAGAGAGAGAGGAACGATACGGTAAATGCAGACAAGAATGTTCCATTGCTGTTGGCCGCCGCGTTCTTTGCCATTTCATATACAGTTCAGTTCGTTTAGTGTCTGGGCCCGGGTCTGGGGGCACCCCCAAAAAAGTCTGGTGCAACCCCAAGTTCTCTTCTTTCGCTTGAGCAAGCTTTTCTGGTGGGAAATAAGAAAAAACCAAGACTGAAAACAGACATTGTTTTACAGCTTTTTCTCTTTAAATAAAACCCACAATTACTTACCTTCACATTCAAGACAACACTCTAACTGCATCCATAAATTGCAGCCAATTTTTTTGGTAATTGCTCTTGTTTAATGAGGTTTTTGGACATGTTTTATGTGTCAGGTGACAGACTTGCATTTTGCATTAACATGTAATTTATAGGACGCGTCCTTCAGAGTTTTCCTTGTCCTGAGAATTTTTACCCGGGCAGATGGAGCACCACCTGCCCGTCCTTGTCATGAGGAGCTGAACATGTTTGCAATGTCATTCCTAGTGTATTTTAGGTCAGTTATAAGGAAATAAACCCCAAAAGCTGGAAGGCAGAGGTATCTTGTTTTTATTGAGCTCAGTTCTTACAGAGGAGACGGAAGGATCGCTTGTGGAAGTTGCACAGAAACGACAGGTATTACAGGCAAGAGAAGCTTAAGAAATGCAGGAAGTCAGAGCGGCCCCCGTGCCCCCGCAGAGGTGCAGATCACAAGGAGGTCATGTCATTGAGAGCATGGTCAAGCTCCTCGCTGATCGCTTTGTACTTCAGCTTCTGAGCGTACAGCTCGTCTAGCGGTCACGAGGGCAGAAGGCACGTTTCAGCGAGAAATGCAGAAAGAACAGTCCAGAGGAAGAGACGTACAGGAGGAGACACAGCCAGAAGGCAGCAGCCAAAGCAGTTGAGGTGGAAAACAAAAGAAGAAAACAGATGCGCAACTGAGTACCAGTATGAAAGCAAAAAATCCCACCGCTGCCAGGTCGGAACCTGCATCTTCCTTTTTGAAAATCTCTCCAAATTATTTTTCAGTGATCAGATTAAGTAAGGTTATGATCTTGTTATTAACAGAAAGAGCCCTTGAGCCCACGTATCTGAGAGTTGGCCAAAATCATGTTATTGTTAACAACTTTTTGAAAGAGAACCTCTTTCAGGAAAGCTTCCTCTGGCCAGGAGGTACCAGGTGGGACGGACACGTCCGGTGCACACATCATGCCCATCTATCTACTGATACGCCCGATGAGTACTTCTGTCCTTTCCCAATAAAATCTACTACCCACTCCTAGAATTTTGTTTTCTGATTTGAAATCAACCACTTCTACATGAAACTGGAGTAATTTCATACCTTCCAGGTCATCAATAGACTTTTCCAGTTTGGCAACTGTTCTCTCTGCAAATTCAGCACGAGTTTCAGCCTGGAAAAAAAATAGATAGAGTAATTGGATGCTGTTAAAAAATGATGCCAAAATACAGTTTGGGGATGGATAAACTTACTTCTTTAAGCTTGTCAGAGAGAATCTTGATTTCTTCTTCATATTTATCTTCTTTTTCCGAGTACTGTGAAAACAATAGACACTCTTTAAAGGAAGTTGTAGCAACAATAATACATGGTTATGAAACTGTGACCTATTTATAAGCACTTTTCCTTTTACAACAGCTGTAAACACCCTTTCCAGACTTTCCTCCTTCTCACCAGGACATTCCAGACTCTGGTTCGTGTACCATCATTTTAAGACTGGCCACGTCCAAGTTCCTTCATGCGTCATTTTAGACCTTAATGGCAGTACCTTCTTGTGCAGCACAAAAACCAGCTGAAGGTTCAAGAGAACATAAAGCCTTCCAGCCCAATTTAGACTAGCCAGAAACAACTGTTTCATGAAATTAAGTGTTTTAACAATTTTCACTTAAGAGGGCAAAAGCCACGGAACGAGCAAGATTGGAAAATCAAGAGCAGTCGGCAGCATACTGGTGTGGGAAAGGGACATGGAGGTCCTGGTCTGAAGCAGCGCTGCAGGTAATTATCTATCATGCACGTTACTGGTTGGGTTTGGGCAGAACTGATGCGGCATCATCAACAGTCTCCATTAAACAGGCAGTCAGCTAAACCCTTTCACTTTCTTTGTATTTTGGGATTATTTCTATGGATTTCCAAGTTTTGACTTTGCCCCTATCCCATAGTTTACTGAAAGAACCAACCTTTTCCGATTGAGCTTCCAAAGACTTCAGGTTGTTAGTGACATTCTTTAACTCCTCTTCAAGGTCACTACACTTACTACGGGGGGGGAAAAAAGTATAAATTACTACTGTCCCTGTTATGACTTAATTGTCAAGAAGTCTAAAAATACAAGAGAGAATGTAATGGTAAAATCTGAAAGGAGAAATTGCGTGTATAGGGTACAAAAAGCTCTTGTACATACACTGCGTGCCTGCCTACCAGTAGCAGATTTTTCTAATGAAATAGAGCTTTGACCTTTACTGTATTGTGAACTGCTTCCGTGTGTATGAAGTTACTCACACTTCGGACACCTCTGCACGCTCTTCAGCTCTTTCCAGTTCACCCTCCAAAATAACCAGTTTACGGGCAACCTGTAAAGAGAAAATAGCTGTATCAAGGCAGTTGGTAATTTCTTACACGTTTCTCTCAAACCACTATGCTCCTGCTTTTCTTCTGAATGATGGAATTGGATTAAAATGTGGATGCACAGACATGACAGACTCTTGCCCCAAATAACTCAGCTTCTGCAGTGTTCTTAGCACTAAATATCTAAGGTGCTGCCAAAGTCACTATTAAAATTGCTCCTTTTTGGGAATGTTCTAAAGTCGAACCAGCACACAGTAAAAAGCATAAAAAGAATGACTAGACTGAAGAGTAACAAAATTGTTCACAGTTCTCTCGTATATTTAATCATCTCCTTATCCCTTTTACCTCTTCATATTTGCGGTCAGCTTCTTCAGCAATATGCTTAGCCTCCTTCAGTTGCATTTCCTGAATTTCCATTTTCTCTTCATCTTTCATTGCTCTGTTCTCGATAACCTTCATTCCTCTGCAGAAGTCAAAGCAAGTGTGTTTAATGTAGAAGCATTTTAGCACTTTTATCTCAAAGGTCCTAAAGTGGAATTCAATATTTGTAACCAAAAAGCAGCCCATCATGACCGTACTATCATGTTCTTCAAGGCTAACAGAATTACTCATTTAAGCTTATAAAAAAGGCACCTCTAGTTCTGGGTCTCTGACCTGCAATGTACATTAGCACATGCAGATACTAAATTATGCAGGAATATTTTATTCATATACACTCAAATTTTTTACCAAGGAAAAAAGAAAGGAAAAAAAAAAGGAAACGTACCTCTCACTCTCGTCCGCTGCTTTCTCAGCCTCCTCCAGTTTCTGCAAGGCTGTGGCCAGCCGTTCCTGGGCACGATCCAACTCCTCTTCCACTAGCTGGATACGTCTGTTCAGAGCTGCCACCTCGCCTTCAGCCTACATGAAACACAACCACCCAGAGCCGAGGTTAGGTCCAAGGCAGCTGCTGGCTGACAAACGTTCTCAGCTTATGTTTCCCTAAAACTGCAAAGGCTTCTCCTCGCTCTATGCAGGGAAGCTCTAGGATCCTTTCCGCCTCTGTTTTTTGTTTGTTTAAACTATGGCATCCCAGGAATTTCAAGGTATGGAGTATGTGCTTCTCCTTTCTTTGTTCATGGTACTTCTTATTCCTGCCATGCAAGGAAGGACTCAACACCCATTGCCAATGGAGAACTATTTTCAGATCCCTTCACAGGGCTGGATCTACCCACAGAATTGAAGTTAAAAACCTGTGTCCATAATGGCTTGTTCCAAAAACTTCACAGTTGATTTCTGCGTTTTTGGTTTCATCACAGATTGCAGCAACATCCTGTCACAGCACACTGCTGAAGCTGAAGCCATTTCATTCTCCGTTACGGGTGCCTGAGCCTGCAAATGCTATGTAATGTCTACGCGGTCAGCTGGGCAGATGATACACTTAGCCTCAGCATGGGACAGTCAGTCTTCTTTGTAACACAAACAGGGCAAAATTAGATACGTTCTTAAAATAAGTTCACTTTCCTTTTTCATTGCTTCCTGCGGTACTTAAGGCATTAGGCAGAAAACATTTCTTAATAATAAGGTCTGTTTATATATTATTGAATAAACTGCACAGCAATTGGGAACACTATTAATGTTTAAAAACCAGACTAGGTAATAAATGGAGAGATTGCTGGGAGAAACGTTCGCATACAGACAACATGAACACATTGGTGTCTCTAAATACATTGTGTTTATTAAGATATAGCTCCTTTAATTGCTTGTTATTTGAAGGAAAATAAACACCTACTTTAGTTACTGCCAGGTTTGTGCACTGAATTGTCCCCAAATCTAAGCATGATTGCCATGGGTAAGATTAACCTTTTTTTGTGTCCTCCTAAAAACATTTTTACAGGCTATAGAGCCTGGAAGGACAATTGTTTTATGCTTTAAACACTGTGAAAAAGACTTGTTTTGCTGCAGCTTCTCAAATTTGGTTACTAACCGCTCCTCCTAAGCTGGAGGAAGTGGTTTCCACTCAGAGCTGGACCATCTTGGAAAGGATTTCAGTGACTGATCCAAATGGAAGCTGACTCAGGATTCCTCTAGTCCGAAATTATCCAGCATTTCAGTTCTTTTCTGCCCAGTGCTATGTGTTTAACTTTCTCGATTTACACACAAGGCAGCCATCACGTAGAAAACTGGCATCAGTTATGTGGCAGTCTGCAGCTCCTTCCACTAGACAGGTCACTTAAGTCATATTTTAATTAAGCAAGATTCCAAAGCTATGGAGATGGGGCCACTGGGAAGCTGGAGTTAGTCTGGCTCCACCTCTCCCAGAAGCAGCCCGCAGTCCTTATACGGTAAAACTAACTCGCTGACATGTGATAAAATAGCAGGAAGATGCCGGGAAGGCTGATCACACACAATCTAAGTGAAACCAGCTGTCCAGCCCCGGGAGAGCCGCACGCTAGTGGAGAGTTCTCATTTCTCTGTGAAAACCAGGAGGGAAAGTGATTTTCCAGCAGTTCGGACATTTCCCAGCTGTGCTGGAGCCAGCGGTGCGGCGCCGAGAGGCGGGAACTCCCCGCTCCTTGTCATGCAGCGCTTTTTCCTAATTAAACAGCCATTTCCTACTAAACTCCTAACCGCTTCCCGATGCGGATCGGTGCTCGCAACGCCTTTTCCGAGGGGAACGGCCCCAAAGCGCGATAAGCAGCGGGCGCCTGGGACGC